AAAAAAAAAAAAAAAAAAAGAAAGAAAGAAAAAAAAAGAGAGAGAAACCCTGTCTTGAAGAAAAAAAAAAAAGGATAATGAAAAATATTCAGGATAGTTTTTGCTGTTGTTTGTTAGTTTGAGGTAGGGTCTCCTGTATTCCAGGCTGGCCCGGAACTTGCTGTGTACCCAAGACTGTGAACTTCTGATCCCTCCTGCCTCTGCCTCCTAAGCTAGGTTTACAGGTATGTGTAGCATGCTTGGTTTATGCTGGGGTTCCAACACGGGACTTCACGTAGGTTGGCGAGGGCTTCAGAGATGAGCTCCAAACCCAGCCCTGAGGCTGGTGTCTACTTCTAGGGAGGCAAAGATGGGGGAAGCTGTACAGCAAGTATCTAAAGCCGCACAGATCCACGGTGTGCTTTTCAGTACTGTGTCTGGGGCTTTACGTTGGTTCTAAATGAAGAATAGAAAGGATCTGCACACAAAGAATGCAAATCCACATTCACCGCTCAGCAGTCATTAATTCAACTAGTCACTCAAAAGATAGCTGTTGTGCATCTGCAACATGGAGGCACACGTGTTCCCGGACACAGCAGTGGGAGTCACTGAACCCGTTCCTACCTCACAGCCTTCCGGGAATTAACCACACTGTCAGCAAGTAGTTTGGGGGAAGGTCTCGGGAAGCAAGATCCAGATCAATCCAGAATCAGAGTCATCAGTCTCAGAATAGCTCAGAGACACCTTCTTGGTATCATTTGAAGGAGGTGACTAGGAAAATAAAGCCAGTGGGATGGCTCACCCGGGAAAGTGCTTGCCAGGCAAGCCTGACGGCAGGCGGAGCGCAATCTTGGGAGCCCCGTGGTAGAAAGGAGAGAAATACCTCCCACAGTTGTCCTCTGGCCACCATGCATGCTCCATGTGCACACATACACGGTATATAAAACATCACAGATTAAACTCTATTGGTCTAGAAAACCTATCGGAGAACACACGTTTTCTCTTTTTTAAAACAAAACATGTAGAAAGGGGCTGGGGGAGCTCTGAGAAGACATGACACAGGCTGAAGTGGCCTCTGCCCTCAGTCAGCAGACCTGTGAAGGACTCAGGGCAGCTCTCTCCTTCATCTGTCACCCAAGGTCACCCTAGTCCGCCAGCGTAACTGAGCATCTTGAGTCCTGGCAGGGAGGCTCAGCTTGGGAACCCATCCTCAAGAGGCCAGTTCAACAGACAATAGTGAAAAGCAGAAAGAAGAGATTGATTCACTGTGGTCACATTGAAAAAGGGACAAATCAAGAGGTTCCCTGTAAGTCCATCTTCAGGGTCCTGACGTGAGGTTCAGGTTTAAGTAGGGAGCAAGAGGTGTGCAGAGCCAAACAGTCCTGGTCAAGGTGTGGTCCTGCCCGTCACTGACCCAGCATTGTCTGGGCTCCAGTTTCTGCTGCAGGGTGTTCTGACAGGCTGTCAGCACTGTGTGGTCTCTTCCTGGAGACAAGCCCCCAGCCCCACACCCCCACCCAGGAAGACACCTGCTCCAAGTCTTTCCTTCCCCTAGCAGGAGACTGCTGGGGAAATTCTAATTTCTTGGGATCCACTGATAACCAAAGTGACAGGCACAATGTCTCTTTAGACTATCTTCGTGCCTTCCAGGATAGTTACACATGGCTGTCCATGTCCTGGAAAGTTCTGGAAAGGCCATTAAGTTGTAAAAAGTTGAAGAAGTTGGAGATGTCCTGAGTAACTGGCATAAATGAGACACGAAAGGAGGCATTCTCTGTGGATGTGCTCACAACCATCACCCTGGAGCAGAGAGCAGGCTCTCACAGCTTCCCTTACTCTGACTCAGGACCATCACCCTGGAGCAGAGAGCAGGCTCTCACAACTTCCCTTACTCTGACTCAGGACCATCACCCTGGAGCAG